AACTTATCAGCACCAGCGCCTACAAACACTGCTGCTCTGGTTTTCTCACCCACGAGTGTACTCGTACACTTATCCATTCTCTGATAAAGATCATACTTGAAGGCTTTTTATTATGGGCCACTGAGGATGTGAAGTCTAAACAAAACATCATTCAAGTTTCTTCGTGTTTCAGATGAGCATCATTCACTGATCATTTTTACTTTCTATTTACTTACCATGATTATAACGTTTGTTTGCAAATACATTTTTTTGTGGTTGTTAGTGTTGATTACTGTTGTGAACAGTGAGGGCAAACCTGTGACTACCACCAGGCGAGTGTCTCGAAGCACAGTGGCAGCGGAAGTGTGGAATAACAAGAAACAGTATCTTTGGCCCAATGGAGTAGTGCCATTTAATGTAGATTCATCCCTGGGTAGGTGAACACTAACATTAGTTTGTGACGACTTAAATCTTGTTCTTTTAAAAATATATTTTTAGCACACAAACGATCTTTTATCAACAAAGCTTTTAACTACTTTCACCAGAACACTTGCATTAGATTTGTTCAGATGAGCAAAGGTCATCATCGTGATTACATCAACATTACTGGTACACCAAAAGTTGGGTAATTAAATATTTATATTGATAAAATGAAACAATAAAACTAAAGCATTTTTACTGTAGATGTAAATCAGAAATTGGTCGCGTAGGATACGAACAGTATGTTTATCTCAGCCATGGTTCTTGCTTTTTAGGTGCAACAATTTTGCATGAACTTCTTCACGTTATGGGTTTTGTGCATGAAATGCAACGCCCCGATCGTAATCAGTACGTAGAAATAAATTTCAAAGAAATCCCGAACACATATGAAAATCGGAAAATAATTGAAGAAAATTTTGACATAATACCCAATTCTGTAACACTTAGTCCATATGACTACGCTTCAATCATGCACGATGGTAAAAGGTGGATCACTGTGAAGAAAACTGGAGCTGTCATCTGGGACCCACAAAACAATGGCTACGGACTGAGTGAACTGGATTTAAAACATGTGAATGAATTGTACAACTGCTCAATGAATGGTGAACACATGAATGAGGCATAGCACTGACTGCCTTCGAATAATCAAATGAGTGAGCACCTCCATGCAAGTATAAAATGCTTCTCGTAATTAGTGTGAAAAACGATGCTCAAATTTCACATGAAAACCTTTTAAACTTATCGACAACTTCCTCACTGATAATACTATCAGTCACTGTTACATAGCAAATAGTTTACTAAACAGTAGCCGATGTTGATGAGAAATGTAACTGCTAATTGGCCATTTACCTCAACTTGAAAATGTCGTTGGACTTTAGGCATTGCGTCGTATTTTTGTATATAGTGCCCACTTGACTTATACCCCAAATAGAATCACCATCTTCAGCTCTATAAAAAACGTCGTGCAATTGTGAGTCTCGTATATCATTCGTAACCTCTGTTTGCTGTCACTTTTCAATGTCTGTTATCTCCAGCAGTTCAGCTCGTGATAGACGATAGCTGATTCAAATAGAAGTGTTGTGGTCGATGTCTTTACCGCCGCCACTACCAAAGCACTGCTTCTTCAACACACAAATTGACAAATGAAAAATGAAATTAGAAAGAGGAACTTTTGGCTGCTTACACTCGCCGATTTGCATCCTGATTGCAGTATGCTTCTGTGCGACTGTTTTCCGGAACAATGTCACCTGTCCGCCAGTTTTAGAAGACCAGCAAGCTATTCGAAAGGTTAAATCAATGAACGGTTCTGGAGGAAAATCCAAGTAATAAGTGGCCAACCTTCGGGATGGCCAATGTGCGTGCGTTTAAAACAAAACTATTTTTGAAAACTAACACAGTCTTTTTTTAACACTTTAGCCTCGTGCAGCCACAACTCGTGACACTCATATCTGGCCTGGGGCAGTTGTCTACTTCACCATCCACCAGTCTCTGGCCGCCTATCGAGAGCTGATTTTTGAAGCTTTTAATGAATTCCACCAGAATACCTGCATACAGTTTAGAAAGTGTAAGCAATGCATTCGCCACATTCGACTGATAAAGTCTGAAAATGACACTGACTGCTCCACTGCTTTGGGACTACAAAGAACATACACTCCACAGAATGTTTTTCTTGGTGCACATTGCTTGCACTTAGGTATAATTGTGCATGAAATAGCCCATTCCCTTGGGTTGATTCACGAACACCAACGGCAAGATCGGGACGATCACATTGTTATACACTGGGAAAACATCACAACAGAACTAAATGTGACTGATCAGTTCGAAGTGATGCCTAACGTAACAACACTATCTCCATTTGATTTTCATGCAATCACTTTTTACGCAAACAATGCTTTTGCTAAAAATGATTCCAAAGATACAATCACTTCAAAGAATTCAAGTATCACGTTACTAGAATCAAGCAACAAACCCGGTCTTAGTGAATACGACATTGCTGGTCTCAACAAACTGTACAATTGTACGACACTTGACACAAGCAGAAAATAGCAAACCGACAGTAAAAACTCGCTTGTTTAGATTTTTCCCATTGATTGTCAATTTCTCTTCCTTATTCAATAAAAAACTGATGCACAAGGACAACAGCAAAACTATCACCAAATGGCCACTATCGAGCATTGCATAAGCTCAGCAGCTGTATCACTGAATGTACATTCACTA